AAACTTTTTGCCTCTCTCCTGCACCATGTCACTGTCAATGTTCCTGTCTTCATTACTTAATATCCTTTATGAGATTGCTGTTTCTTATAGTATCCTGTGTGTAACCAAGTCTCCAACAAAACTTATATGGCTAAAGAGCTTAAGGAAATAGGTCATGTTTATAACATAAAATAGTTATAATAATGTGATTCTATGTACAGGGAGAGGCAACAAGAGAAAATGTCTCCTAGATCACAATCAGAAGATCCAGAGAATCTTTATTGATGGGGCCGATCCAAAATTTAGCACTTGGAGTGGCATAGCAACAATTTCCACCTGACCTGGGATGAGCCTCCCAGCACCTGGGACAAAATTTGATTACAAAATGTCTCCCAAATATTGGTCAAATTCCTGACCGTGAAGGAAGGACCTGCAAAATTTAATCAGTGATTGCAGTCCTCTGACATGAGCCACTCCCTACAGTGAGCATGGACAAAACTTGGGATATGAAAACATAGGATTATAGGCCCCAGATAACTGAGGCCATATCAGGGAAATGATTTTAACAAACTCTGACTCTTGCATCTTCTCATACATAGAAAAAGTACTAATTCCTTAACTTGACATGCTGCCTCCTGGATTTGAAGTCCTAAAAAGAAAAAAAAAAAAAAGTCCTGCTGAATAAGACAGAACTCTTAATTTTCAGATTTTAAATACCTTTTAAGTATACAGGTGTAAAGTAGAACTTTCCAGGGGGACAAAGGAAGACAAATCGCAACCTTTGCACTGGCACTGTTGGTGGATACTCCCAGAAAGATACATCTGATGAAGCAGTTAGAAAGATTGTCTCCCTTCTTACCAAAAGACTGTGGAATAGACACTGACAGTGGGGAATAATCTCAGGGAAGAGCCGATTCTGACTCCATGTTGGAACCGTTTCTTTGACTTGCTTTTATTATTATAATCATACATAATGGCCAGACTCAGAAAATCCTGCCCCTCTGCCTGACTGTTAAACAAAAGTGCCTTGGTTCAGGACCCTGTCCACCCTTGAATGGCAGGAAGAAAGAAATGAACACATCCCCTGCCTGAAGCTTGCCATTCTAGGAGTTATTTACAAGATTAGTGGCCTTCTTACTTTATTTCCTCATTTCCTCCCATCTCTATTTTTTAAAAGAAACTTTCATCTGCAGATTCATGCTATTATCACCATTATAATTACTAAAATAGAAAGGAGTAAAAACTATTCCTAGTTTTTTTTAAACAAAAGTGCATCACTCAATAGTTGACAAAAATCTATCTAAATTTTTTCTATTCATTTCTAATGAAAAATAATATAGTGACTCTTTAGTGATGGTTTTGGGCATGGTGAAGGGGGTAATGTTTGGTAGTTGTGAATCTTTCTATTAAAAAATACTTATTTGGGATCAGAATTTATTTTCATTGGAGTAGGATAAGATGCATTATTATCAAAGTCTGGTAAAAATATGCATTGTCATTAATACTATCTAACATTTTAGAAGTACTACTAATGGAAAATTATGATTTTTTTAAAAAAAGTATAATTTGTGGATGACTACATATGCCTCCTTAGAAAACCCAAGAGCATCCACTAAGATCCTATTTATAAAATTAATATGAGTATTAATGTTGCTATATATATTGTACTGCTCCTATAAGATGTGATAAAAACGTTATTTTTGTACTTTCAACAATGATATAACATACCTAGTATCAAATTTAAGTACAACTCTTCTCTGGCCAAAAGAAAGAAATTGAAATAAATGAAAACCCAGACTTTGTTCTTGAAAATGATTTATATTTCAAAGGACTTGATAATTTACAATTTTCCCTAAACTCATTTATGCTCTCAGAAATATTCATCACAAAATCCTATAGTGTGTAAGGAAGAGTATTTTAAAGGTACAGAGGAATAATCAATGAACTAATTATCTTATATCTAAATTATATGTAAAATATGTCAATGTTTAAAAGTCAAATAATACAGTAAATCTATAATTTAAAGGGACAAGTTTTGTCCCTGTATCTCCAAGATGTTTCTCAGAGACAATTATTTCCTAAATAATTACTTTTATAATCACTGAAGTAAAATAAACCATCATTCTTAAATAATGGGCTTGTATTCGTGTAAATTGATCTATCTTCTTACAGCTATTGACCTCCTACAATGATGACTGAGAGGTTTTTTGTTTTTGTTTTTGTTTTCTTTTTCCAATTTTGCTAAAATCTTAGCTTTGCTTATTATATTGATTATCATTGTTGCTGATATGACTAGCTTCATATCCAACATCAATTTTTATTTCTCCCCTAAAAATAAATAAATTAACTGCAGTAATAATGTGACCAGACAAAAAAGTGAATTTTTAGCTTGATGAGGGATAAAGAAATGTGAGCTGAAATTGTCATAAAAAACTCAGGGCAGTCTCTTAAGTGATGTGGGTAACTGAAAGGCAGATACCCGTTTTACTGTTATTCCTCCCTCCTACTCCAGGCTCAGTTGATTGTTAGAGAATCAGTGGTCATCCTGTGACTGGCCTGAAAGTAGTTCTGAGGATAGTCCTAAAAAGGGCAGAACAGAGAAAAAGAAGGACTCTGAACATTAACGACATTCTGATCCACACTAACAGTGTGTGTGTGTTTGCTCAGTCACACGAACTAATCCTGGATCATTATCCTCGGGATTTAGTGGATGTGAGAGAGAAGAAGCATCAATAGTGTATAGCCAAAAATATTCTGGGTTTCTGTTTCAGTAGACTAACACAGTTAACAATATTATGCAACTTTCAGTAATGCACTTATAGCCTTACATCTGGTTCATTCATCCATACTTGGTATTCTTTCAACCCCCAGTTTTTAAGCAGAGATCAGTTGTGGTGTTATCTTTTCTGAGACCTCTCATCCCGTCTGGCTTTAAGCCTCCTAACTTCTATAAAACTGTATAGTTATTTTCATATTTCAAGGTCAAATATATCTATATACTGTCTGTAACCACAGTTGATTATGTTATGCTTCATATATATTTTGAATTTAAGTGAAAACATCAATAATTAGTATTTATAATTTATAAATCTACTAACACTGTTCACTCTAGTAAAGTAGAACACTAAATTTATCTATCATTTTTTGTGTAGTTATTTTGTATTTTTTCCTAGCACAATTGTTGACTCTTTTTTCTTTTCCCATTGTTTCCTAATCATAACCCAAAATTCTTCAAAATTCTTAAACATCCCCTCTAGCTTATTTAATACTTTTTTTTTTCTTCCCAAGACATCCTGTTTGAAGTTCCTCTCAGTATGTCTGGGTGTACTGCTGTCAAGTCCAGCTGTGCAGATGGCATCTTGTGTTCTCACTTATCCTGTGTCTGAATTATTCTTTACTGTATCACTTATTATCTTTTTTTCTTGATTTATATTCTTCTTCTATGAATTTCTAAGCAATTTTGTTTGTTAGGTAAATTTTCTGACATTTTGCTTCTTGGTAAATGTCATTTTGTTGCTTTCACACTGATCATTTCAGAATTAAAATGTTTCTTCTCAAAATTACAATGGAATTCTCCTATTGTTTATGGCAATCAAAGTAGTCAATCAAATATCTGACTGCTGTCTTCATTTTGTTTTTCTTTTTTAAGACCTTTTCTGTTTTCCTCCATAGAGAGAAAATTTTCAACACATATCTAAGTTTGGAATATGGCCCTTTTTATTATTAGCCTTACTTGGAAATTAGTAAAATTTTTCAATTTTTAGATGTATACATAAACTTTAGTTTGGAAAATCATTTCATATTGTTTCTTTGAAAAATTTTTCCTCATTGTTTCCTTTGTTCCCTCTTTCGGAAACTCCCATAAATACAATTTTGGGCATTCTGAGTTAATGTTCCTTTTATTATCTATTTCTCTATATTTTTGTTTCCTGGATATTTGTTTTACTCTGGGGAAATATTCCCAAATTTACTACTTAGGATTCTTATGCCTATACTTGTGATCATATTGAAAACTAAAGTTACATTTCCAAGAACTCTTATTTTTTTATTCTCTTTTTTCTTAGGATTGCATTTTTGTCTTAAGGAGATTCTATGTTTTCGATTTTTGGTTTTTGTTTTTTTCTAATTTTTTTGCAAACAAAAATCCAAATTCTAAATATTGATTTTCAGTTCTCTCTCTCTTTTCTTTCCTGTTTCTTTTGACGTGTTTTATGTTGATCTTTCTTTCTTATGGTAAATTTTACTGACATGTTTGTGAATTCTTGTTTGGTTGTGTTAGGTAGTTAGAATAGGGAAAAGGAGTCCAAAATGGCGGTGGCTAAAAGACAAGGAAGGGAAAAATCTGCAAAAATAGAACAAAGGAAGGTCTGAGGACCAGAGTCAGGACTTCAGGTAGAACAGCACTCCTAGCCAAGCCCAATTTGCATAGGGCAGGCCCAGGGGGAAGAAAAAAACATATAAAAAGAGGAGCCAAAGGGCTCTCTCTCTCCCCCCCTAGCGCTGGGGTGTTCTTTTCTTTGCGTCTTTGGGTCGACATGCCCTCACACCTTGAAGATGGATTTTCCTGCTATTATCTAAATAAAACAGAGCTGTAACACTGAGCTATAACGCTGATTTGTCGAAGAGCTATCATGGTCCATTCAAGGCCTAAGAGCTATAACACGGTCTGTCCAAGACCCAAGAGCTGTGACACGCCGAGGGGGCTTTAATGGCCGTCACTCCAAACCTTTGTTGTGAAGAGACAGAACCGAGGAGCATACACTCGCCTGACAGTCGTTTGCATATAAATATGATACAATAGAAAGCCGGAATAGGAAAAAAAAAAAAGATGTATGAAATTGTATTTTTAAGATGAAAAAGGAGACATGAAACACCATGTAAGGGTTTTATTCTGAGACATATATTGACTTGATATCAGAGATGAACTATTAAATTTATATGAAAGATACCATTTTATTGCTATTATTTTTAACAAAGATTAAATAAATATTTATTGAGTTTTTTTTTTTTTAATGTGCTAGACTCCATCACAGGTGTTGAAGATCCAGCTGTGAATATAACACACGTAAACTCTTGTGATCCTGTGAGTAATAGAGAACATAAATAATAAGAAGGATAAGAAATGAGTATGTGCATTGTAAAATCAAGCAAATGCTTTGTTTTGTTTTACTTTGTCTTCCCGCTATTTATTTGATATATATATATTTTTTGCTTAGGGAGTAAATGCTTGACTATAAGAATAAATAAGTAGAAGTGGACAGTTTCCTATTAAAATAAGCCTTTCATTTCTTTTTTTGTAAAAAAATGGCATAGTTAAATATAACTTGAACACACAGAACTATGGGCCATAAACAATTTCAATCCTATTACATATATGAAAAGTTTACCTTATATTATTCATTTGCTCTTCATACTAACCTATGGAGCAAGTTCTAACATTACTAGTTTTTAAAAAGACAAACTTTACCTTAACAAATTGTGATGAGGGTAAGTCTTGAGTCTTATACATTAATCACCCTCCTCTATAATTAAAAAATAAATAAATAAATCATACTCATAAATGTGAATTATAAATTGTATGCTTATGCCACTGTAATTAATCTATACATTAACTGTTTCTGGTTTTGTTAGGTTCTAACTAAAATAGAAGTTTCTTCCCTCACTTCAGGAATACCTCTTGATTACCTTGTACACATGCCCTGCCACTATCTAGCAGTTTAGAAAAGAGAGAAATACATTCCAGAAAAGTTCAGTGTAGAGGATCCCTGCAATCCAAAGAGTGATTTCAGTTGTATCCTCAGGAATTTGTAGTATTTAAGTGCATGGAGATTAGCAAAATGCCTTCTGCATTCCTTATATATCACTAAAATACAAGGAGGTAGGAAAATCAAATAGTCATTTGAAAAACACTAAGTCAAGCTTCCCAGGTATCGCTAGTGCTAAATGCAGGATACATAAGAGATGTGGGCTCCATCCCTGGGTTGGGAAGATCCCTGGAGTAGAAAATGACAACCGATTCCAGGACTCTTGCCTGTGAAATCCCATTGACAGAGGAGCCTGGTGAGGCTGAAGCCCACGGAGTTGCAAAGAGTTGCATAAGACTGAGTGACTGAGCAGAAGCAGGAGAAGGGGACAACAGTGGATGAGATGGTTGGATGTCATCACCCATTCAATGAACATGAGTTTGAGCAAACTCCAGAAGACAGTGAAGGACGGGGAAGTCTGGCATGCTGCAATCCATAGAGTCAGAAAGTGTTGAACATGACTGAGAAAGAAGTCAGTCTGAAGGGAACAGGTTTCAAAGAGGAGATTAAAGGGAGAGACCTGAAAGACAGATTAGAGCTTTATCAAGACTTTATTCAATTTAGTGTGTGGATCTTATCCTTTAACAATGGGAGCTAAGGAAACACTTTGAAACTGGCTAGTGAGAGGGTGAACAGGTATGTTTAGAATGCCACCTCCTTGCTGCCCTTGACATGTAGCCCGCCGGGCTGCTTTGTCCATGAGATTTCCCAGACAACCATAGGGTTACAAGAGTCAGGCACAATTTAGTGACTAAACCACCACCACCTCACTGCCCATACTAAAAATAGCAGCTAAAAAGCAACAATGTAGAAAAAGATCTTTAATTTTCCTTTTCACAAAAGCAGCCAAAATATTTTAGATACCCTGAAATGAACGCCTTTTTCTTTCTTGATCCTCTTCAGTTCAGTTCAGTTCAGTCAGCCGTGTCCGACTCTTTGCAGCCCCATGAACCGCTGCACGCCAGGCCTCCCTGTCCATCATCAACTCCCGGAGTCCCCCCACCCCATGTCCATCCAGTCAATGAAGTCATCCAACCATCTCATCCTCTGTCGTCCCCTTCTCCTCCCGCCCTCAATCTTTCCCAGCATCAGAGTCTTTTCCAAAGAGTCAGCTCTTTGCATCACATGGCCGAAGTATTGGAGTTTCAGCTTTAACATCAGTCCTTCCAATGAACACCCAGGACTGATCTCCTTTAGGATGGACTGGTTGGATCTCCTTGCAGGGTCTTTTCAAATGAGTCAGCTCTTCGCATCAGGTGGCCACTTAATATCATAATTTCTTTTGGTGACTCCAAAATAAAACAGGTAATATCCTAAATAAACTTCCAATGACTGAAGTAGATGTTCACAGCTAGTAATACATACCTTGGAAATCTGGTTTCTTCACCTTCAATCCATGAGTCTTTAAGTCTTGCTCCCAATTAGCTTTACCAAATTGAGTAGTAAATGCCTATGACCAGTTTGATATATAACTATAAAATGACATTAGTGCATTTCCCACCTATTATGAGAAATAAAAATTTATTGCTCTAGAGGTTCCCTGCATGACTGATCTAGAGCAGTCATTTTCACTCCTGCCTCCCTAGGAAATACAAGTTTAGTATTAAAAATATTTTAATAAAGTATTTAAAGTAATTTTTTATTTTATAAGTTTATTATATATGCTTTACAGAAATACAAGTCATGATATATTATCTCATATATTGCTACATACAAATTGGTAATTTTAGTTCTATGTACATAAATTTTTTTTTCCTTATACTAGTTATAATTTTGTTGTCCTTTTTAGGGGATCTTCCCAACCCAGGAATCAAGCCTGGATCTCCTACTTTGCAGGTAGATTCTTTACCATCTGAGCCACCAGGGAAGCCTGTCAACATTTTTACTGGCATCATAATATGTATTTAGTATTTATTTTCATTCATATTCTCTAGGAGATTTTGTCTAAAATTGGAATTACCTGTGAAAATTTAATTACACCTAACTACCAATCATGGAGAAGGCAATGGCACCCCACTCCAGTACTCTTGCCTTGAAAATTCCATGGACAGAGGAGCCTGGCAGGCTTCAGTCCATGAGGTCTCGAAGAGTCAGACATGACTGAGCGACTTCACTTTCACTTTTCACTTTTATGCAGTGGAGAAGGAAATGGCAACCCACTCCAGGGTTCTTGCCTGGAGAATCCCAGGGATGGGGTCACACAGAGTCGGACACGATTGAAGTGACTTAGCAGCAGCAGCAGCTACCAATCAATCTGTCTTTATAGTTGCTTTTCAGAAATATTTTCCTTTTCTGCATGCATTTTTTTCCTCCATATGTCAGTAGTAGTAAACTTTATTCTTCTGAAAAATATTAATTTTATCTAAGCTTTCAGATAAATTAGCATAGAGTTTTGATGTTTGTCTCTTCTTTTCAATTGCTAATGTTACTTGTCTAAATTAATCTAGCCGACTGCATTCAATGTTATTATTTTTTAAAAAGGTGATTCTTGACTGTGTTCCTTTCCTATTGGAGTTCTACTTTAATAGAGTCTATTAACATTATCCTTTTTTCTGCTTCATTGAAATAATTCTAAAATATCTCCTTTCTAATATTTAAAATTGGTGGTTTTGTTTTAGAGTTCATCATTATTAATATAAATACTTGATGCTATACATTTCATTTTTTGCCACCTTAGTATTATTTCTAAATCTTAAATATACCATTTTTCTTTATTCTGTTTTAAATATTTTTAATATGAATTATGATTATTTATAAGTTGTTAATTACTTTTAATTTCTAACCATCATTCCTGTAATTACTAATTGAACTGTACTGTGATTGAAGTCTTGACCAGTTGAGTTCTAAACCTTTGAAATTTGTGAGACTTGGTCTACAGTCTATACACTAGATTTTAATAGGTTTCATGTATTTTTTCAATTATTTATGCAATTTTCATATCTTCCCATTAAATCAAGCTTGTGAAGTGAATATCTTTAAATCTTCTAAATCACTCTTTGAATTTTTCCTTGAGAATTTACTAAATACGAAATATGGTAAAAGGTTCATTACTTCCTCCTTTATGTTCTGTCCATTTGTGTTCAAGATATTTTGAGATACTGTTTGCAGGTGTATAACAGTTAAGGTTTGTTTAGTGTTTTTTAATCATTCTGATAAATTAAACTTTTAACATATTGAAGTAATTATTTTCATCTTTATTGCTTAGATGAGTTTATGTTATTTGCTATTAACAACTATTAGTGTACTATCCCAACTAGTGTCTGTCTGATAAATCTTTTTCTATTTCCTTTCTTATAACTTATCTTGTGTTTCTCTGTCCTTCTACTTTAGGTATACTCCAGTTGAGAGAATTAAAAGTTAATTTTTAGAATATAGCTTGCTGTTCATGTCTTTTAAATTAAGATCTTAATCTATTACTACTTTATAAATACAGTCACAATATAGCAGTAAGAAAATGAATACTGGAGGCAGACTGCTTTGCTTGAATTCTGGACTTGTCTTTTACTAGATATGCATGTGAAGGCACTCGCACCCCACTCCAGTAATGCTTGGAGAATCCCATGGATGGAGGAGCCTGGTGGGCTTCAGTCCATGGGGTCGCTAAGAGTCGGACACGACTGAGCGGCTTCACTTTCACTTTTCACTTTCATGCATTGGAGAAGGAAATTGCAACCCACTCCAGTGTTCTTGCCTGGAGAGTCCCAGGGACGGCGGAGCCTGGTGGGCTGCCGTCTATGGGGTCGCACAGAGTCGGACACGACTTAAGCGACTTAGCAGCAGCAGCAGCAGATATGCATGATGCTGAGCAAGTCATTGAAACTTTTTGTGCCTCCTCTTTATTTGCTAATTTAGATTTATACCAGCAGTTGTCTCATGGGACTCTTGTAAAAATTAAATGAGCTAGTATTTGTAAATTCAAATACTGTTTGGAATATTTGCTATTATTATATTTTAATTAAATTCCCCATCTTTTCCCCTATTTATGCACAATATTTTTATGGTTTTATTTGTTATTTTGCTCTTTTCTCCTTCTTACCATTTATTGATTCGTTAAGCAATTTTAATCACATTTTGTTTGCTTTATTGTCTTTTAAAAACTCCATCATAATTTTCCCAGAAAACAGTAAAAAGCTGTTCAAAAATTAAATATTACCATAGATGAAATAAGCAACTCTAACAGAACCCACAGCTAACAAATATCTTGTCTAGTAATTTCCAAAAACTAAGGCTTTTTGTATAATCCTTTCTGTTTTGCTAAAATTCAATATAAATATTCTGTCAGCTGACTACTAGTGTATCTAAAATATGTACTAGGAAATTGGGGAAAAGGAACATACTTGTATGGTAAGAGAAGACACAATTATTTGGGCTGAAATTGACAGATGGTGAATTTTTAAGAGAACTTCAGGCAATCTATTAGAGGTTGTTTTTCAATTGAAAAATTTAAATTGTATAATTTTTTTTTTATTTTTATTTTTTTTTCCCATTTATTTTTATTAGTTGGAGGCTAATTACTTTACATCATTGCAGTGTTTTTTGTCATACATTGAAATGAATTAGCCATGGATTTACATGNAGTGTTTTTTGTCATACATTGAAATGAATTAGCCATGGATTTACATGTATTCCCCATCCCGGTCCCGCCTCCCGCCTCCCTCTCCACCCGATCCCTCTGGGTCTTCCCAGTATACCAGGCCCGAGCACTTGTCTCAAGCATTAAATTAAGGCAAAATAAAAGCCTAACTGGTAGCCTTTTGGTGATTGACATCTTGGGCTCTTTGATTTTAAGATCAAAGAGTTTTTTTTTTTCACATGCCATTAATACATTCTATTCTGTGAATCACTTCATCATCTGTGCAGTCTCTATGCTAACTATTTCCCATGCTTTAGTTTACCACTAGGCATAAAAGGCTACTTTCTTTAAGTTTCTCCACATCCACTTTCTCTGGGTGAAAATAAATTTACTTTCAATCTGCAAAACCAAATGCTGAGTCTATGCAGATTCAGAATTAAAATTAGTATATTCTGCATCTCAAAATGGAGAAACAGATTGGCAAGCAGCATACCTGTAGATAAAATCTAAAGACAGAAATGACTTTACCTGAGTGTGTTTTCTAATTTTGAATTAGTTTCCCAGAATTTGTGGGAACTTCAGATATTATGTGGTTCAGTCTCCTCATTTAACAAATACAGAACCTGAGATTCCAGGACAGAGTAAGTGATTTGTCTACTACATTAAAGATCTAAGTCTCTGTTCAGAGAAACACCGATTCCATGCTATTTCTCCTTTAGCTACCTTACCAGTTGGACATATTTGCATATATCAATTACTGTTGTTCTGTTTTTTGAGGCAGAGGGTTTATAGTTTTGCTTTCCAACTAGATTGTAAACTATTGAAGGAGAGCTATCCCTTATTAAAATCTGCACTGTAGCCCCAAATCCCTTCTTACATTGAAGCCTAATCCCAGGTCTCACACTCGGAATTCAATAAATTGTTCAATGATTTATTACTGGAGGAATAATTGTAGAAGCTTTCCTTTTTGTAAACTGAAAAGTAATAGAAATGGACAGTAATTTTACAAATGCTGGAGACAGAGATGAGAGACTATGAACCCATCTCTGAGAATACTGTAGAAATCACCCATTAAATAATTTGGTATGTGGGTGACACCTCTTAAGACTTATATTAAGGGGCACCAGCTCAGCTGCTTAGTCATGTCTGACTCTTTGTGACCCCATGGACTGTAGAAAGCCAGGTCTCCTTATCAATCACCAACTCCCACAGCTTTCTTAAACTCATGCCCATCAAGTAGGTGATGCCATCCAACCATCTCATCCTCTGTTGTCCCCTTCTCCTCCTGCCTTCAATCTTTCCCAGCATCAGGGTCTTTTCCAATNATCCAACCATCTCATCCTCTGTTGTCCCCTTCTCCTCCTGCCTTCAATCTTTCCCAGCATCAGGGTCTTTTCCAATCAGTCAGTTCTTCACATCAGGTGGCCAAAGTATTGAAGTTTTAGCTTCAGCATCAGTCCTTCCAATGAATATTCAGGACTGATTCCCTTTAGGATGGGCTAGTTGAATACCCTTTCAGTCCAAGGGACTCTTAAGCGTTTTCTCCAACACCACAATTCAAAAGCATCAGTTCTTTGGTGCTCAGCTTTCTTTATAGTCCAACTCTCACACCCATACTCGACTACGGGAGAAACCATAGCTGTGACTAGATGGGCATTTGTTGGCAAAGTAGTGTCTCTGCTTTTTAATATGCTGTCTAGGTTTATCATAGCTTTTCTCCCAAGGAGCAAGCGCCTTTTAATTTCATGGCTGCAGTCACCATCTGCAGTGGTTTTGGAGCCCAAGAAAATAAAGTCTGTCACTGTTTCCCTTTTCTCCTCATCTATTTGCCATGAACTGATGGGACTGGATGCCATACACCAAAATTTAGGGAACAAGCATGTTTGATCCATATTATGTGTTATAAACAGAATTCTAGCTAAGGAAATATGAGGCTTCAGTTAAGTAATGTTCTGGTAAAAGGACATTAAACACCAGCTCTGTGTTTTTAACAATAATCCTTAAAAAAAAAAAAAATCTTCTTATGAACCAGCTCTTTTAGAAGAGTGGAATATAGAAAGAAAAAGAACAATTAGATCTATTTAGTTTGAAAGGCTTAATGCAAAGATGAGTCATCAACCACCCTATCTTGAAGAAAGACTATAGGTAAGAGGAAGATAACTCTGGAAACTGCTGGAGAAAAGTAATACATTTCAGACATTTACCTGTACATAGAAACAAGCCACCTTCAAAATTGTGGTGACTCATAAAACATAGTTTATTTCTTTGTTCATGCTAGGTGTTCAAGGTGACTGTGCATTTAGCCATCCGTCCAGGGAGGCTCTCTTGCAGGGGAGGATACAGCAGTTCACCTCCACATCAATACACACTTTCTTAAACCCAGTGGCCCTCTCACTAAATGTGGGAAGTAGCATAGTCACATTTTCGTTCACATTTCACTGGTTGAACCAAGTCATAGGACTACACCCATTTTGAAGGTGGAAGGAAGTATCTTTATTCCTGTGCACTGAAAAAGAAGAAACCTTATCAATGAACAATGTATTATCTGTGAAACAGATGCATGTTGATCACTGATTTTATGTTTGCTCATACTCAAGGCAAAAGACAATGACATTTATTATACTCCTTAAAGTAACTAAGGCCTTTACATAAATAAAAAAGAACTTTACCTTCCATAGCCACCTGAAATTTATTTTGAAATAAAGAAGATAGCCTTTTGGTCCCTGGTCTCAGTTTAAGCATGGCTATAATTTTGTGACATTTCCCATGATGTTGAAAGTTACTCATTGCCCATCAAAGACAGGGACTCTCAGTCATCCTCTGCTCTGGACACTCTGAACAAATTAGAAAATGACAAAAGTAGCTTCTTCTGCAATGTTTTAAAAATTAAGTTTCTTAGATTTTCTAATACAAGGCCAGTAGAGCTAGAAATAAGTATACTGCTAGACATCAAATGAAGAAATGGTAGCTGCAAAATATGTATGTGTGTGTGTGTGTGTGTGTGTGTGTGTGTGTGTTTGTACAACCCTGGTTTAAGAAAGTTTAAAAAAAAAAGTGGGAAAAACAGTGAGGAGGGCTTCTTTTTTCACTTTTGGAAGCCATCTTTATTTATTTGTTTTGTTTTGTTTTTTTTACCATGTTTGTCTGACTGTCTGGCTCTAATGGAATCAATATTTACAATGAACTACTGATAAATGGAGCCTATGGTGCACCTATAACTTTTATTTTTTTATTTTTTTCCACCTATAACTTTTAGTTTCTTATTTTTGCTATGATTTTCTCCTATCACTCTGTCAGTTTTTGTCTTTATATGGCAATAAATACTTTCTATGGTCTCAAATAGAAATGCATTATCCATAGCTATAATAGGGTGGTCTAGGGTTTCTCTCATTTGGGTTTCAGCTCATGGTATAAACTACTATGAACAATGAGTGGAGTATTAACAAAACACTATGTTAAATTTGAGTCTCTGAGGTATTAAACGTCACAAAAGAGCATAGAAAGGAAGCTACAGATTTAGAATTCAAACTCAGTTTCCTCAGTCAGAATCTGGGAAATGTATCTTCAAGGAATAGCCATTTAAACCTGTTTTAATTTTTTTTTTTTTTTTGCTATTTCTCTAACCAAAAACTAATACTTTCCTTCTTTAAAATAAAAATTATATATTTAAGAATCTTTAAAAGATATTTCATTTGTAGAATTGGATGGTTATGTTTTTGAGCTGCATCATTTCTGTACATCTCTTATGTACATAATAAAAGTAATTTTATTTCATTTTATACAAAGAATAAATGACTCCAAAAATTATGTAAAAAAAAAAAAATTTACATGATGTGAATGTCTTCAAATCCCTTACTGATAGTCACCAGGGAGTTTCAAATTTGAAGAATAAAAGCATCTTGAATTACTAAAATTTTCTATCCAATTGAACAGTTGTCCTAAAGAAGCATAATAATGTCTTTCAAATATTACACTTGCTTAATTAAGTAAAAATGGAATACTAAATATGCTTACACGTCCTACTCCAATCATCACTTAATAAAATAATTTAAAAAGACTCAGGTCTTTTTTATTAAAATTAAAATTTTAGGTTATTTCATTAAGAGAAAATATTATGGCTATTTTTGGGCAGCAAAAGAAATTTGACAAGCAAAAGGAACACTGCTTCATAGTTATTTTGTATGTTCTTCTCTGTGTAAAAAAAAAAAAAAAAACCTTTGCAATGTATTTAAAATTGCATCTTATTTCTCACCTCAGGTATCTCCCCATAGGTGCCAACTGTAATATATCAATAGCTGAACAGCTCACTGCCCTGAAGTGTTCCTGCACATGCCTGACTAAGCTATCGAAAAGGCTGCTAAGATTTTAAACACTTGTAGATCACTGGCTCTGGCAGATGTTATTAGTTTGATTTCTTCTCAACTCCTGCTTTCTTCCATCAAAGGGCCACTTCCATAAAGTTCAATAAAAGCTAGTGAATCAGACAACTAATAGTCTTTACAGTCTGAACAGAGTTTAAAAAAATTTTAATAAGAATTATTATTCCAGAGCAAAAATACTTTACCATTCATTTGAACTGAGTGATTAATGATCCTTGATAAGTTATAGTATGTTATTTCTGAAGGAAAGCAGTGTTATACTACCCTTAATTTCTGACCCAACACCTTGTTGCCTCAGGAAAGATGATAAAATCTAGGATTTTGTGCCATGTTTCCTCTGTGTGTGACAGTCCTTTGTGCTCATTATCATATATTTCCAGGTATTATATCATTTTGAAGGTAAGCATGACCATATGACTTCCTTTAACCAACAAGAGTGACTGTGTGTTGATTACCATGTATTTCCAGGCATCACAACATTTCATTTCTCTGCTCCCTTTGAAGGTAAGCATGACCAACTGCATGACTTTGGCCAATAAAAGTGATGATGTATCTTACCCTGGAATGGAAGTTAAAAGCCTTTATGCAATTTTCCAAATTAATTCCTCCTGTTTCAATAATTTTGGAAATAAATATTTAAATGAAAACTCTGGTTTCCTTGATTGTAGAGTAACTATGATGAGCAAAATCCTCAGCTGAGTGTATATGTGTGTAGAAAATACATTTTTTGTTGTATTCAAACACTTTTTTTTTCCCCTTTACCCAGCTTAACCTGCTGTCTTGACAGATACACTCTGTTCTCCCAGAGATAGCTCAATTACAAATGAATTAGAGTCAGAAAGATGCACTGGAATGCTACTGAAATGTAGCACTGCATGTGGCTTGGCTTTTATTTATGTAAAATTAAATTCAGAGAAATTGGTTGTTGCTACTAGCAACCTGCTTCTTTATTAACCACTCAAATGATGTTAAGAACCCAAATTATGCTCACTAGATAGAATCAGTCTGTTAAATATGCCTGCTCCTCCGGTCTTCTCCAAGTCCTCCCATACCTCTGACTACTCTTTCTCACTGAAAGCTTCATAGCTCCAGAGCCTGTGTGCACACTTTTTAACCAACATTGGTATTTTCTTTTTTTTTTTTTTTTAACATTGGTATTTTCTTGATGGTTTCTGGTGAATTCTGACCCTACTTTTTCAAATTCACCTTCTCATAATGCTAAGTGGCATTTCAATCAGCATGTTTTCCTGTTTGGGGAGGTAGTTTTCTTTTGACCTCTTATTAACACACTTCCTTTGACCCAGAAATGAATTCAAATGCAGTTTTAAAATAGCTGACTCTGGAGCCACATGGGTTAGATCCAAATTATGGTTGTGCTATTTGATAACTTTAAGGCACTGGGCAATTTAAGAAAACATTGCTCCTTTTCACCTTTCCGTGAGAAAAAGGGAGTGTTACTCTAAGGGCTCCACTGAAGATTGAGATAGTCAGCATTAACAGTTTTAACCACTGTGTGCTGTCCTCTGCTCAGTCTTTCAGTTGTGTCCTACTCCCTTTGGCCCCATGGACTGGAGCCTGCCAGGTTCCTCTGTTCATGGAATTTTCCAGGCAAGAATACTGGAGCAGGTTACCATTTTCTACTCCAGGAGACTGTTCTGACTCAGAGATGGAGCTTGCATCTCTTGCATCTCTTGTATTGGCAGGCAGATTTTTCACAACTAGCTCCACCTGGGAAGCCCGTTTTACACATTAAGTGTTATAATTACCACCCACACCAACACTGGCAATTCCTCATATCAGCTACTGGGTCTATGATTACATTCTGAGAACACCCCATTTTACAAAATTTAAACAATTGCAAATATGCATTCATCTGTCTCTTTTACAAAACTTTGAGTGAGAGCTCCTTAATATACCAAATAGGGCTTTTTCAATTGTGTTTCACAACTTTTGTTAAACAGGCCCTTTCTCATAGTTACTAAATAATAGCAGAACAGACTAGCTTAGGCTTCTTTTATGCTGAAAACTCAGACCTAGTGGTGTTATCGTATATAAACAATCACTAAAGAATTAAACAAAATTAATAAATTATTTTTTTATGATTAGGATCTTTGCTTATGGCAAAATAGTATCTCCAATATTTGGTTATCTGATCACAACTATTAATTTCAGTGGAGTAAGCCAGTCCACATCACTGCAGTGATAGTTAAGAAATCTAATAGGATATCCTAAAAGGGAAATCAATTTTTTCTGACTTTATTTTTGCAATTCCTAAATTTTAAGAATTTTGGAAAAACTAATTTTTTATTTATAAGTACTATTTTGCCCAATTAAATAACATTCAAGTCACTGTTCTGGAATGAGATAAACAAAAGTTCAAATAAAGATTGTCTACAAATCTCATATACTTCAATCTTTGAAGATATAATTTCCTAAATGGACTAATTTTAAAATTTTTATGTGACTGATGTACATATAATAGCTCCATTAATTTTAACAAATTCTGAGTTTTATAACTATAGCATAAAATTTTCTAAGATGTAAAAGAATAGGAGACATTAGCAGCACACAGGAGTCTGACATAAATTATAGAGGTCCTTTGTCTGTATAAGAAAGGACACTGTGATTTAGCAGATATTTTTAAAACAAAATTCTACTTTCCTTTCAGAGGTAAAATTATAATGAAGTTACATTAATAGTCTTGTGTCAAAACCATAGTGGCAACGTTACAATGTTTCTTCCATGACACATTATCTTTTCAAGAGATAAGTGGAGATTCAATAAGTAGTAAAATCTATCTGAAATAAAAGCATCCACTTGAATATTTTCATCATCAAGTAGGTCATACGCTTGAAAGGTTTTAGATTATAATTACTGTGAGAAAGACTGGGAAGGCTGAGATCATCGGTAATGCCTTTTTCCTAGCTATAGACATTATAAAGGTATCCCATAATTCAGCATAATTTGCTCAGCAACCAGCATAATTTCATGCAATTTGTGCTCCAGGTACAGAGTGAACACGGTTTGACAGAACAGTGCCTAAGTTTTTGTTTTGTTTTAGTTAAATTTCCAATACTACCATGTCATAATTAAGCAGAAGGCAGAAGACAAGCTTCCCTATTACTGAAACATGCTTTTGGAGCTGTTGTTTCTCTGTGATAATTTGGTAATGCAGAAGGGTTGAGAGGATTGCTTTTGACCTCATGTTATTAGGGAATAGAAAATTGGAGTCTAAGATCACTTACATGTGGTCTTTATGTTGTTGTCAAGTCACTCAGTCATGTCCGACTCTTTGCAACCCATGGACTGCAGCACACCAGGCTTCCCTGTCCTTCACTATCTCCCCGAGTTTGTTCCAACTCATTCAGTGCTCCATTGAATTGGTGATGCCATCCAACCTCTGTTGACCTTTTTTCCTCCTGCCCTCAATCTTTCCCTGCATCAGAGTTTTTCTCCAGTAAATTGGCTTTTCGCATCAGGTGATCAAAGAATTGGAGCTTCAGCTTCAGCATCAGCCCTTCCAATGAATATTCAGGACTGATTTCCTTTAGGATTGACTAGTTTGATCTCCTTGCTGTCCAAGGGACACTCTCAAGAGTATTCTTCAACATGACAATTTGAAAGCATCAATTCTTGACACTCAGCGTTTTTTATGGTTCATGTGCATCCATATATGGCTACTGGAAAAGCAATACTTTGACTCTACAGACTTCTGCATATTAAAAAGCAGAGACATCTCTTTGTGTAGGTGTAGGTCTGTCAGAGCTTTTTTCTAAGGAGCAATTGACTTTTAATTTCATGGTTGCAATCACTGTCCATAGTGATTTTGGAGCCCAAGAAAATAAATTCTATCACTGTTTCCATCCCCCACCCCCTCCATTTATTTGCTACGAAGTGATGCGACTGGATGTAAATGTGGTCTGGTTAGAACACAAATAGTTTGGGTTCTGATTCAAAGCACTACCTTCTTGAAACTAGGATTAAATGACAATAAGCCAGCACATGGACAAATTACAGCTTAGTACTGAAGAACCAGAGTACCCTGGAAATATCTAAATTTCCCAAATTGAAGAGCTTCCTTGGTGGCTCAGATAGTAAAGCGTCTGCATGAAATGCGGGAGACCCGGGTTCGATCCCTGGGTTGAGAAGATCCCCTGGAGAAGGAAATGGCAATGCACTCCAGTATTCTTGCCTGGAGAATCCCATGGGCTGAGGAGCCTGTTAGGGTACAGTCACGGGTTGCAAAGAGTCGGACACGACTGAGAGACTTTGCTTTGCTTGCTATAAGTTCTTAGTATACCTGGGTATAAGAAAGAAACAAAAATACTCAGTGGGATAGATAATATCCCTGGCCACAATTTTTTATTACATTTTTTAAACTTAACCAAAACTAACCAGGGGCACAAGGAGACAAACTGAAATGAGTAAGAATCATACACTATTAGACAATAACTACAGGCAATGAGAAGTTGGAACTACTCTACCCAGAATTTTTAACAACTCTGATAACTATGCTTGCAAGTTTTAAATATAATATCAAAGTGACTTTTAAGGTTTCTGTAAATTAGTTTAAAAGCTGCATAGTGAATTTTAAAGAAAAACAAATAGGAAAATACATAAGTTTATACTAGTTGATTAAAAGCAATAAATTAGACAACCATGAAGAGGGAGCTAGCAAACTGAATTGCAGGTGAGGTGAAAATATACAAAATGAATCTGAAAGAAACAAACAATGTAAAGAAGGAAGGTTAAGAGAATACAGTGTATATTAGGAATGTTAAACTTCTAATTATTGGGAGTGCTACAATGAGAAGAGAGCATGAATTAAAACAAAAACAAAAACAAAAAACAGTATTTGAAGCTGTAACATCCAATTTTTTTTAGGATGTATTATAGAAATTCTAAACACAGATTTAAGAAAATTTAAAAAACCCTCAAAGATGATAACTAAAAAGGAAATCACATGCAGAGACACATTGTTAAAAAACTTCAGAATATCTGAGAGAAGGAGCAGGTTTTAACCTCAAGAAAGCTAGAAAGAAATGTAGACTGTCTTCAAAGAAAAAAATGTTGAACTGCCAAATTAATTTTATAACAGAGAAACTAAAACTCAACTTGAAAATGTGTTGATAGAAAATGACTGCCAACCTAGAATTACATTTAGGAAAGGCATCCTTCAAATATTAGGGTGACAAAAACTAATGGGACCTTGCCACAAGAAGAGTTTTATTATAGGAAATGATAGGTTCACTTCAATAGAAAGGATTACACCATATGGAAGTTTAGGAATGGAGAAAGACATCGAGAATGGAAATAAATACATGAACGCATATATATAAGTATGTATGTATGTATATGCACAACTGATATATGCATACATATACTTATATATGTGTGCATATTCATGTTTGCAGAGTTTTGTATAGATATCACTGAAACTATAAAAATAATATTTTGTGAAATTAACATATATATATAGAATTCTTATATGTATATAAATTTATATAATTTAGGAACAAAGTACATGGATTTAAAGTTTCTGAAGTACTGTATATGAACAGTGAGTAAGCAAAAGGAACTAAATAGTGCTAAGCTTTATATGTAAAGGATTCAGTTTGCAATTTCTATGCTATTCCTTCCAATACTGTAGGCACTATCTATTTAAACTTCCCTGGTGGCTCAGAGGTAAAGAATCTGCCTGAAAAGCAGGATATGTTGGTTCAATCCCCGGGTCAGGAAGTTTCCTTAAAAAAGGAAATGGTAGCCCGCTACAGTATTCTTTCCTGGCAAATGCCATGGACAGAGGAGCCTGGTGAGCTACAGTCCATGGGGTCATAAGAGTGAGGCACAACTTAGGAACTAAACAACAACAAATCTATATATAACTATGATTAATAAAAATAATTAAAATTGATTTAAAAGGCAGTGCTTCAGTCACACTAGCCAACATTACAAGGGCTTAATAGTCATAAGTGGCTAATAGATGCCTAAATGGACAACGCAGATACGAAATACTTTCATATGACAGAAACCTCTATTGGAAAGCCTTGCATGCAACATATAAAATAACAGACAATTATGTGGTGATACAAATAAATGACAAAAATGTAGTAATTTTAAAAATGCACAGTCCTTAAGAGGTCAAGAAATTAAAGTGTAGATAGAAGTGAAAGTAGAAGTAAAAAGCATACATTAGGGTGGTAAATTTAAAATCATAATATTTAGAATAATTTTAATGCAAATGGATTAAGATCTAATTAAAACACAAAAATAGTAGTTTGAATATAAACATAAAGCTCAATAATATATCAGTGTTTCTCACAAGATAGCCATCTAAAACATTAGCATATGAAACCTTGAAAATAAAGGTTAACTAATTCTATTACATTAACCAGAAAAAGAAAGCAGGTGTGGCTATACTAACATCTAAAAAAATAAATATAAAAGGATAAAGTATTTTCAGAGATGAAGAAGGTCTCTTCTTAATCATAAAACAATGTCTTATGTCACTAGCTAAAAGAATTTTAAATGTGTATGCATTTTACAACCTAAATTGAAATAGAAAGCATAACTTCACAGAACTACAAAAGTAATTTTAAAGATAACGTTTAAGTTACAATGGAGAATTTTAATGTCTCTCTGATTTATAGAACATCAGAGATAATAAAGTAAAAATTATAGATTTGAACTATGAAATTAACACATTTAACTTAATACAAAATGCAGAGGACTTCTCCCTACAATTATAGAAGATAAATAATTTCAAGAAAGCATAGAAAATCTATCAAAAAATCCAATATAATAGAGTATAAAATAAAACCTCCATGCGTTTAAAGGATTTAAGCCAGAGAGAATGTTTCCTGACCTAATTCCATTAAACCAAATATTAGATTGCAAGTATCCCTTTGACCCTTATGTAATTTAAAGTTAAGAAATGTGCACTTCAAGAATATCCCTCTACCAAAGGAGATATGATATTGAAGAAATGTCAGTAGATACATACATATAGATCATTAACTTAAATGTAAATGGATTAAAGGCTTCAACCAAAACACACAGACTGACTGAGAGGCTACAAAAACAAGACCCCAAAATATACTATCTACAAGAGACCTACTTCTGACCTATAGATGTGTACAAACTGGAAGTGAGGAGGTGGAAAAAGATATTCTATGCAAATGGAAATCAAAAGAACACTGGAGTAACAATACTCATATCAGATACAATAGACTTTACAATAAAGACTGCTACAAGAAACAAAGAAGGACACTACATAAAGATCAAGGATCAATCCAAGAAAATATAACAATTTTAAATATATATGTACCCAACACAGGAGCACCCTGACATATAAGGCAAATACTAACAATCAAAAGAGGAGAAATTAACAGCAGCACGATAATAGTGGGACAATTTAATCCGCATTTCTGTTAGGGGAAGCACACTGATTGAAACCACCCACCCTGGCCAGGCACCATAGTAACCATTTGCATGAGTTGTTCTATGACAGGAGATCCTGATAAGGAATACGGAACTAATAAGCCACCACCAACCGGAAGAGTTTGGGAAAGGTCAAAAGGAGACACCGTGTGTCCATCCACTTCCCAGAATCCCTGTCGCTAGCATCCATCTTGGCTGAGCGATGCGTGCACCACCAGGAAAGACTCTGAATTAGAATGATTGGCCAAAGACCACCTGGAAACTAGTCCCATCACCATAAAACCTGAGACAGTGAGCCACGCGGCAGAGCAGTTCTCTTGGGTTCCCTTATTCTCCTGCTCTCCACGCGGGTGTCCTTCCCAGTAAAATCTCTTGCTTTGTCAGCACGTGTCTCCTTGGACAATTCATTTCTGAGTGTTAGACAAGAGCCCAGTTTCGGGCCCTGGAAGGGGTCCCCCTTCCTGCAATATTTCTATCAATGGACAGTTTGAACAGAAAAAATATCAATAAGGAAACTCAGGCCTTAAGTGACACATTAGACCAGATAGAATCAATTGATATTTACACAGCATTCCTTCCAAAAGCAGCAGAATACACATTCTTCTTAAGTGTATATGGACTTTACTCCAGGATTGGCCACATACTAGGCCACAATACTTCAATCTAGGCTTCAACAGTACATGAACCGAGAACTTGCAGATGTACAAGCTGGATTTAGAAATGGCAGAGGAATCTGAGATCAAATTGTCAACATCCATTGGATCATAGGAAAAGGAAGGGAATTCCAGAAAAAGAAAAAAAAAATCTACTTCTGCTTCATTGACTCGATAAAGCCTTTGACTGTGTAGATCTCAACAAACTGTGGAAGATTCTTAAGGAGATGGGAACATCAGATCACCATATCCACCTCCTGAGAAACCTGCATGCATGTCAACGAGTAATAGTTAAAACTAGAAAGAGAGCAATGGGCTATTTAAAATTGGGAAAGGAATAGGTCAAGGCTTTATATTGTCACACTACTTATTTAATTTATATGCAGAGTACGTCTTGCAAAATGCCGGGCTGAATGAAGCACAAGCTGGAATCAAGATTGCCAGGAGAAACATCAATAACTTCAAATATGCAGATGACACCACCCTAATGGCAGAAAGCAAAGAGGAACTAAAAGACCTCGTGATGAAGGCGAAAGAGGAAAGTGAAAAACTGACTTAAACCTCAACATTCAAAAAACGAAGATCATGGCATCTAGTCCCATCACTTCATGACAAATAGATGGGGGGGGGGGGGGGGGGGATGGAAACAGTAACAGACTTTATTTACTTGGGCTCCAAAATTACTGCAGATGGTGACTGCAGCCATGAAATTAAAAGATGCTTGCTCCTTGGAAGAAAAGTTATGATAAACCTAGACAGCATATTAAAAAACAGAGACATTACTTTGCAGACAATGGTCCATATAGTCAAAGTATGGTTTTTCCAATAGTCATGTAAGAATGTGAGTGTTGATTGCTCAAACTCATGTCCCTTGAGTCAGTGATGCCATCTAACCATCTTGTCCTCTGCTGTCCCCTTCTCCTCCTGCCTTTAATCTTTCCCAGCATCTCTAATATGCTATGCAGAGAAGAAAATGAAGAAATTACATTTACATGCAATAACCCTATTGAAACTAAAGTTATATTAATAAAATTGAGAAAAGGAAGCTCAATGCAAGAGTTGTTTACCATTTTATTGCATTTGTATGTTTCAAAATAGACAAATGTAAACTAGAACATTTATAAAGACATAATTATGCAAACACCATTAATAAAAGCAAAGATTGAATTATCATAAAAATCAATATAATCATTAACATCAGAAAACATATAGGAGTTCTCTTATGCTACAGGAGCTTTCTAGTTATTATTGTGTTTGCCTACAGTGGTATTAGCCTTATAAAAGATATTTAGTTGAATATTTATGCTTTTACACTTTTCTCTGTGTTTCTTATGTCCCACAATATTTTTTTTTAAAGGCAAAAATCCATGAGAGCAAGCATGTATTCACTATGCATTCGCTGATCAGTTATTTCCTATTAAATGTCCATGCTATGGTAGTCTCTCGGTGGTGCAATTACAATAAACAATAATGAAAAAAAAAATGCTCATGTGAAGTTCTACAGTCTAGTAATAAGATACTGATGGGTTTCTCTCAATTTACCTCTGAGTTTAAAGCACCGGACTTAAAATAATCATAGTAAAACTATTAAAAGGTGAGATATTAATTTAATTTCAATACCATCTAACTTTACTTTTCTATCATAGTATCTCACCAAGATTTGGAGCTTGATGTGATAAACAAATAGGAAAACAATCTGGGAATACTTTCAGGTAAATCCATTGTGTGGTTGAGTAGTGTGAAAGGGACTGAGAGCCCAAATACCCTGGGCAGTAATAAAAGCAAAAGGAAGTTGACCTATTCAGGGACCTGCAGGCTCACAGACAAACACCTCTGCTTATCACACCTGTTGTTCCTAATTGTTTTCTGGGCAACCATAACTTTAATTTGGTTGGAAAATATGCAGAGGAAGAGATCTATTTATTCAAGTACTGCCATGTTAAGAAAAGAAAAAGTCATGGAATGTTTATTGAACCACCCTAAATCTTGACTTTTAAAAAATTGATAAGTATGTATTATTTAATATGAAATTTATGGTAAAAAGTTTTATCTTTTAGAAATCATTTTGAAGCACAATATTTGTATAACCACAGGTTACATAAATATATACATACATTTTAATATGCCCATATATATATATATATATATATGGGCTTATATATATGGGCTTTCCTGATGTTTCAGTGGTAAAGAATCTGCCTGCAGTGGAGGACCTGCAGGAGATGTAGGTTTGATCCCTGGTTTGGGAAGACCCCCTGGAAGAGGAAATGGCAAGCCAGTCCAGTATTCTTGCCTGGATAATCACATGAACAGAGGAGCCTGGCAGGCTACATTCCATGGCATTGTAAGAGTTGGACACAATTGAGCTACTGAGCGCGAGTGCGCGCACACACACACACACACACACACACACAGTAACACTTATACATATTTATACTGTAAAAAGTGTTGACTAGTGAGAAATAGAATACAAACATTACATCTAATCATAGTTAAAGGCTATTGGAAAGGAAATATTTGATGAATCTTTAGGAAAGCTTTACTTCCCTATAGGAAAAGATATAACAGAATTTACCTTGGAATTCACTGGAACAAGCTTCTTTCTATAGAGTTTACTGATCCAGAATTAATGATTGACTTTCATTAATTGTCATACAGCCATTTGCCACATATAACCTCTAATATGGGTGTATGAATACATGTATACACTTACACATACATATATTTTTACTATATAAATGTACAAATATATGTGTATTACATGTATACACAAACATATATATATACTATATACATGGTACAATGTACTGTTTATAATATCCATATATGCATTCTAAAAATAGTGTTAAATATCAATATAGTTAATTAATTTGTTTATTTAATAATTATTTGTGACAGTATGCTGCATACAGAGAATGCTTCTATAATTAAAAAAAATCATGGCCCTTTTTATGGAAAAAGCCAGTAAGTAAACAAATGATTATTAAATAATTAAGTAGCTACTTCTGTAGTGAGAGTTAAGAGGGAGAAATACAGAATTATATTAAATTATAGAATCTCTTTGAAGAAAACAAGTGGAAACTTAGAAGTATTAGTCACAAAAATGTTCATCCCAGGGAAAATGCAGTGGCAAAAATAGAGAAATAACAGCCGTTAGCATAATAATAAAGATAATAAAAAAACATCAATTATCCAAAGCTTTAACAATATAATTATATTGCATAAAGTAAGAAATACATATGATATTTACCTCAACTACATAGAAATATATAACAATTTTAAAGCTATCATCAATGGTGAAGTATAAATACTGTTAGAAAATGTAACATAACCAAACTGACATGCTGGGTTATCATATATTTCAGCTAGAAATACAAGTTGGAAAACTCATCATATATTATTTGTTGCTTCTCAATCCTTTTCATCATTGGAGTTTAAGCACCATTATCTCCAGGGTGTGTGCTCAGTCATGTCCAACTCTTTGCAACCCCATGGACTGGGGCCCACCAGGCTTCTCTGTCCATGGAATTTTTCAGGCAAGCATACAGAAGTGAGTTGCCATTTCCTTCTCAAACTCCACAGTAAATAATAGCAAAGACCTCCTAAAATATTTTATCTCCAAACCTTTCCACCTTCCTTTACCTGGACATTCTCCACATTGCTAAGATTTTGAACTTCCTAAGATGAAAATGCAACATTTATTTTTCTCCCAGACTTTTAGTGGACATTATTATTTGTAGACTCTTCATTTCCTCTCTGTAGCATAAGGCTAATGGAGTCATTTTCCTCCAGTACTTTCCTTGTCAATAAAGAGGTTGACTTGATTGATCTAAGATTAATTCTATTCCCTGTATGATAAATCATTAATTTCCTAAGATTTGGCTCATAAATAGTGTTTTTTTGGTAAAGGAATCAGCTCGGGACACGGAACCACAGTCAGGTCAATGGGATATAAAGGATTTTTAAAATAAACATGAAAAAAAGAAGTTTTGTTGAGTCTACAAGAAAGCCACTAGATGAGACACTTATTTCGAATACTGTGGAGCATGAGAGCCACTTATCCATCATAAAGAAATCACAAATCACAAAGAAACAACCTAACTAACAGACTACAAAAAAGGAATTCTTTGAGAAACTGCACCAGAGACATGGGGTTGAGTCTTTCCCAAAGCCCCCTCAACCTCTGGATTTACACTGATACCAGCACATATATTTCCATATATTTTCCTGTTTGAATGGAGTTGCCAGTTTTTCGTATTAATACCATCTAAACTAAATTACAACTCTTTTAACATCTTCTTTTGATTTTAAGTAAAACTTCCTTATCTATTTTGTTTGTAAGTCCCCAAATTTCTCAGGTTCTCTCTCAACTCATGGCTTTTGCAAATGCCACTGCTTTAGCCTGGATGACCCTCGCTACCGACTTACCTCTACTCAGTTCCACTGGACCTTCTGGTTTGGCCTAAGATATGTCTTCCTAAGGCCCCACTCACTTCCTCCTTTTCCACAGACTCTAATGTTATGCTAAGAGTCTCCTTATCAAAATATCTAACAAATGAGGTCATATAGACTTGCAGTTTTACTTTGTAAAATCCTGCAACACATCAACACCAAGTACTGTCATTATCCACCCTTGAAGTACCCCTTACTCCAAGCACAGGGGCTAGAACAGTATAGCATCTCAGTAAAGAATGTTGAGAGAAAGATGTGTAAATGCATGAACTGTTATATGCATATCAGAAATTATAAATTTTTGAGTTGTTGAAACTTGAATTTATAAATCTGTGTTATTATTAATTAGTCAAACTCAGAAGGAGTATGGCTTCTTAGATACAATTTTATACACTCTGTTCCCTCTGTCCATGCTGATGATGCTTTGGACAGCAGGGAAACCAATACAAAACTTCATTCTGAGACTTTCATTTATCTATGTCTCCAATGACAGAAGGAGTGCTCCAAAGTTCTTAGGACAGTCTGCGAAATTGTGTGATGATGAGGTGTTCAGGAAGACATCACCACTAATGTCTCCAGGATCTTCAACAGTGACAGACAAATGCTTAAAACACAAAATAAGATGTGTGTGTGTTTGTATAACTATGTATATGTATGTGATTTAACTTAGATATCTTTAAATATCACCTTTGTTCATTTTACAATAAACATTTTCATTTCTAGGAGTTAATGAGCCCATTGGTCTAATGGGTTTCCTCATAACCACATGTATCTTCTGGGTAATTTGATGAGGCAGAATATTTTCAGCAAGTGCTGAAAAGGATAGTGCAAATAATCAATTCCAGAGTAAGTTAGAAAAGTAAGACATTATTTTGGGTTAGCATTTTCATGGAGGTCATCCCAAAAGTGAAGTCACTTGAACTGAACTTGAAAAATGTTAGATACATTCAAAGGGTTATCAATATTTCCTTAACCAAAAAAATAAATAAGAGCTTCATTATCTTTATTCCACAGTATTGTAAACATAGCAATGACCTCTCTTCAACTTTATTTCAAAGTAAATTATTCAATTTATCATACTGTTAGCCAACCAGTAAAACATTTTGTCATTTGTTTATTCAAAGTGCAATTATTGTCACTAGTTTTGTATAGGTATTAAGTTAGGGGAAAAGAACATAATGGTGGGCTAGACAAACTAGCTTCTCTCTTAATGAAGTGACAGTCTATCAATAAATATGTGATTTAAATAGATTATTAGCTCAAAGCATAACTTTTAATTCTAATAAGGACTAGGGAAGATAAAATGACATAAAATCCCAGTTCCTTGGCATAGACCACACAGGTCATATACTCCACAACTTTAGAGGCATCTTTCACACACACACACACAAAAATGCAGTGTATAGAGATGAGCTTTAACTGGATGGGAATTTATTCCTGGATGTGACATAATTAGCTATGCATCTATAGAAGAGGTTCTGCTTAAAGGGTAAAGACTGGATTTGGGGTTGATAACAAAAGCTGGCATGAACAAAAAGACTATTTTTTCAGTGGCTCATGGTACAAATAATAATGGTGATGGGAATGGGGTCAGAGGAAAATGGACAAATAAATTTAGGAAACATAATTAATAGGACTTGCTATATGTGTTTGTAGGTTAAAAAGGGGGATACAGAGTTCTTGAGGTGTTATTTACTAACTAAGGCCACCAGTTAAATCTGGAGGTAATCTTAAGTAATTTTTCCTTATACTTTATACTTTGTAAGATTTACCATGAAACTCTTAAGTAGAAATATGGACTAGGTGTTTGGATATATGTATGTGTGTGTGTGTTCAGTTGTGTCTGACCCTTTTGTGATCCCGTGGTCTGTAGTCCTCCAGACTCCCTTGTCCATGGAATTTTCCAGGTAAAAATACTAGAATGGGTTCCCACTTCCTAATCCAGGTGGTCTTCCTGACACAGGGATCAAAAGATATCAAACTCTTGTGCCTCCTGCATTGCAAGCAGATTTTTCACCATTGAACACCTAGGAAGTCCAGGTGTTCCATATATATATATATATATATATATATATATATATAGGAATACATAAAAATGGGCTGGAAATTTTCATTTGGGATTCTAGTGTATGTGTGCTCATTTGCTCAGTTGTGTCCAACTCTTTTTAACCCCAGCTCCTCTGTCAATGGAATTTTCCAGGTAAGAATACTACAGTGGGTTGCCATTTCTTACTCCAGGGGATCTTCTCAACTCAGGAACCCAG